TGTTGAATTGGGGGAAGGCTAATTACAACAGTATTAGGGAGGAACTGGAGAAATTAGATTCGAGGTAGTTGTTTGAGGATAAATCCATATCTGACACATGGGAGTCTTTTAAAGACCAGTTGATCATTTTGGAAGGATGTGGAGGCTTTCGAGATGACTTTGAGAAGAGGTTTATGGAATGTTGCCTGGTTTGGAGTGTATTAGCTAACAGGAGAGGTCAGATAATCTTGGATTATTCTTACTAAAATATCGGAGGCTGGAGGGGTGACCAGTAGAAGTATATAAAATTAGGAGAGGCAGAGATGGTAGGAGTCTTTTTCCAAGGATAGAAATGTCATACACTAGGGGCATGGTGAGAGCTGCAAGTTTAAAGAGGACATGCGAGGCAAGTTTTTTACACAGAGGGTGATAGGTGCCTGGAACATACTATCAGAGGAAGTGGTAGAAGCAGACACAATAGCAATGTTTAAGAGGCATTTAGACACATACAACAACAGGCAGGTAATAGAGGGATATGGACCATGTGGAGGCAGAGGAATTAGTTTAGAATGGCATCATTGTACATTATTACATACATATATTCTAGTTGCTGATTATGGAGAGAAATCTGAAAGCAATTCAGTTGTTCTTCTCACCGAATACAGAGGAATGCCATTGGATGCCCTTGGATCTGTTCTACCTGCAACCTATCATCCCATATATCTGCCTTTAGTTCAATATCCATTAAGATTTCTAGTTAACATTAATCTATCCAAGTCTTAAATGTAACAACTGAGCTAGTATCAATTATCATTTGCAGGAGATTCCAAACTTTTATCACCTCCTGTACATGGAAACATTTTCTAATTTTAATCCTGAATGATCTGGCTATTTTTTAGACTGTGCTGCTAGTTGGTAGTCCTAATGCTGTTAGTCCTACAGACCCCAACCAGTGGAAATATTTTCACTGTATCTACTTTAAGATCATGAAAACTTTGATCAAATTCCCATTTCTAAATTCCAGGGAACACAGCCCTACCTTACAAAGAGAGTATGCAACTTTCTTTGAGGACAGGGCACAGATGTTCACATTTTGGGAATGTTCGTTCTCAACAGTTTAAATTGGGTATTTACATTAAAGTGCGACAATTTCTTTTTTACCTTTTAAAATTAAATCTTTACATTTGAATTACCCAGTTTTCTTTTTTAAAAGAGACAAGCATTCCATACTTTAGGATAAGAAATGGCTGGTCCTCTCTTCATGAGCAGCACAAATTCCTCCAGCGACGGCCTCCTCAAGATAAACTTAAAGCCAGTTGAGGTCCTGAAGATTTGGCCGGGGAGATGTCCTAGGATCTCCTGGTGGGACAGCATGCCCCACTGACTGTGCAACTTCCCATCCTTCACCAAGTTGAACATCTTTTGCAGCTCCAAGCAGCGTCTCCTGCGGAACTCCACCAGCACTACATCCCCAGGTTTAAAGGGCACTTCTCTGTTTGGGGGGTTCGGTTGGCAAGCACTGTCCCCCTGACCATGGACCTCCTCCTGAGGTAGATGCCAGCTGCACTCAGATGGTGCCTGCCATCCTGTGGGTGCGGAGGGCATGGATACTGCTGTGTAACCTTTTGGGCCTGGCTCCTGGTTTATCTGCTGCAGGTCCATTACCTCCTGGGACAGCATCTCCTGTGGGATCAGGCTGCTGACCCGTTCCAGCGGCGATAGGGAACGTCTCCTCGGGAGCTGAGCCGTTCTTCCTGGCCATGTCCAGGCTGGCCGACCCTGCGCAGCTCCCAGCTCCCGTCCTGGTTCTGATCCATCCTTTCCCCCTTCATCTCCAGCCCCTGTGCTGGACACGAGCGACACAAGGTTCCTACTGAAGGGCAGCCGGGCATCGGGGAATGGAGAAGGGTAACTGCATTTAGCCCCAAACTGCAGCTGAAAGCAGTGGGCTGCTTTGCACATTGTTCTCACAGGACGCAGCATCTTCTCCCCGCACTGAAATCCGTGCTGTTGTCTATTACATTGCAGTCCGGAGCCTTTGCACATTGCCTGCCAGGATCCTCGCTCTGAACTGTCTTTGCTTTCACAAGCAGGAAGCAGACGCTTCAAAGCTCCTCCTCAGTACCACATCATCTTAAAGCGACAAGCTTCATCCTGTTTGTGTAGGAGGGAGACACGTGGAATTTAGTTAATCGCAGCCGCGCTTTAAGTATTTGACACAAAAACATAAATGCTGGAGATTACAGGGATGGTGCTTGGATGCTGCCTGACTCGCTGTGATCACCAGCCTTTGTTGTTTTCAGTACAGATTCCAGCATCTGCGGTAATTTGTTACCACGCTTTAAGTAGTTGGATGGCATAAGCATTGAGCCCCAAATTTTCTCATCTGTATCACATTGCAGCTCCATTAACTTTTTTTAAAAGAAATAAGTCGTATTTAGTGACTCTGTGTAGGACGTAGAACCCCTGCAGTGTGGAAGCAGGCCATTTGGCCCATCAAGTTCACACTGACCCTATTACAAGAATCCTACCAAGACCATTCCCCTACCTTTTCCCTGTAACCCTGCATTTCCCATTGCTAACTCACCTAGCCTGCACACCTTTGGAGTGCTGAAGAAGGGTCATACTGGACCAAATTGTTAACTGTTTCTCTCCACAGGCACTGCTGAGTTTTGCCAGTATTTTCTGAGCTTGTTTCAGGTTTCACAAATTTTGCTTTTGTTTGAATCTTCTGTACTGTATGATTGCAAATCCCAGGATCTGAGCACTTCATAGAGTCCCTACAATGTGGAAGCTGGATCTTTGGCCCATTGAATCCACATCACTTCTCTGAAGAGCATCCCATCCAGGCCCCTGCCCTATCCCTGTAACCCTGCATTTTCCCCCATGGCTAATCCACCTAGCCCACACATCCCTGGACACTATGGGCAATTTAGCATGGCCAATTCACCTAACCTGCACATCTTTGGACTGTGAAGGAACCCACACAGACACAGGGAGAATTTACAAACTCTACACAGACAGTCACCTGAGGCTGGAATCAAACCTGAGTCCCTGATGCTGTGAGGTAGCAGTGCTAACCACTGAGCCACTGTGCCACTTAATTTAAGGCAGTGTTGAATTAGGAGTGTATAGTGTCATGTAAGGGGTTAAGTCTGACGCTGTGATTTGCTAATAAGGAAGTTATACAATGTCACATAATCATGCTTACTGCTAACCTCCTGAAAATATGAAGTACAGTAAGATGTTTCTTAAATACAATGTAGTTTTCCTTTTCTCAGCAAACATAAACATACTTTAGCAGCATGACAAAACCAAAAATATTATATCAAGCATTGCTAGAGATGCAGTATGTCTGTTGTGGTATTAAAACAGAGACCATCTGCCTGATCAAGTGGATGTAAGATATCTCATTGTGCTTTTCAAGATGAGTAGGGGAGTTCAACAGCATCTTGACCAATAGTCAACCCTCAACCAGTGGTACCAAAACAGAAAAAATACTTGTTTGTCTCAATGGGCCATTTTTTGACAACTTTTGTCGGTATTGTTTTAAATTAATTAATTGGCTGTGAAGTGCTGTAAAGTCCTAAGGATGCACCCATATGATGCACTCGTGTACAAGTTTTCTTTCAGAGCACGACCATACCCAATTTCTTTGTTACATTCCCATAAAGACCGATAACTTTCAAAAAGATATTTGAATTCCCAGTGACTGATTAAAGGAATTGTAGGACAAAATACCAAGTTTTAAGACTTTTACAGTCTAAAGTCAATATTGATTAAATATTACTTGGTAGGAAACTAATAGTCTAAACTACTGAACAGTTAATTTTTATTAATTTCTTAACACAATCAGTAACCCCATGCAACTCGCTCCCTGCACACATTTGGTGTTTACAGAATCCAGGCTTGCTTCTCTCTGTTTCAATAATATCAAAATTTATTTATTTTAGTTTTTCCAAGTATGTCCTCAGCAATGCCTTTTGGGAGTCAAGTTCTCCATAATTATAGCCCTGCTATAATAATTAACTATGATATATAAATAGCATTTACTAAAATCATATGCTAGCAGAATTGTTATGTGTAGTTGCAACCTGTGTGTAACACCTGCAATTCTGGAAATAATTAATCATCCCTTCTTGCAAGGGGGCCAGGGTGGAGTTGCAGCATGTAAAAATAGGGAAGACTAATCACAACTGCACAGGCCATTGGTGAGACAGTTCCTCGAGTTCTGTGTACAGTTTTGATCTCTTTATTTAAGGAGGGATAAGCTTGCATTAGAAGTAGTTCAGAGAAAATTCACCGGGTTGATTCCTGGGATGAAAATAGTGTCCTTTAAAGAAAGAAAAAACAGTTTGGGCCTATACTAATTGATAATTAGCAGAATGTGATGCGATCCGATTGAAGTATAGAAAATTTTGAGGAGGCTTGATGCTGATCGTCCTTCAGGATGGATCTTCAACTGGTGGACAAAGTTTAAAATTAAGGCACCTCCTATTTAAGACAGAGATAAGGAGGAATTTCTTCTCATGTAAAGCCGAGAGCTGCTGTATTTTGGAATTCTGTTCCCCAGAGAGCAGTGTTCACCAAATTTTTGGATCACCTGTCTTAATTTCTGTTTATATGGCTTGTACTCAAATTTTGTTCACTAACTCTGAGAAGCACCTAAAGGGATTGGGGGGCATGGTGGCTCAGTGGGTCAGTGGTTAGCACTGCTGCATCACAGCACCAGGTAACCCAGGTTCACATCCACCCTCAGGTGACTGTGTGGAATTTACACATTCTCCCTGTGTCCATGCAGGTTTCCTCCAGGTACTCCAGCTTCCTCCCACAGTCCAAAGATGTGCAGGCTAGGTGGAGTGGTCACACTAAATTGCCCATGGTGTTCAGAGGTGACTAGATGAGGTGGATCATAGGGAGATGCTGAGGATCAATGCAGATTTGCTGGGCTAAAGTGCCATGTTTGTAAACTGTAGGGATTCTGTGAAAAATATCATACTAAGTTAAAGGCTCTACATAAATGTAGGGGATTGCTTTTGGTTGTCTGAAAGCATGTTACAGCTAATGAACAACTTTAGAAATAAAGTCACAAAGAAATGTAGGAAACAACTAGATGATTGGTTTTGAGAGATATTGGTTGAAATTGAATTATTAGCAAGGACATCAGAAGAACTCCTGCTTAAAAGGTAATGACATCTTTTGCATGTGGTTGAAAGCTACCACTTTTTCCTTCTAATATTTCAGCTGAACAAATAGCTTGGACAATGCAAAATCCCTTGCTATTTCCTGAATTGGCAAGGTGGTAGCATTCTTGTCCCTGAATCAGAGGGTTCTGGGTTCAAATCCTATTCTGAAGGTTGAGAACAAACATCAAGACTGACAGTCTTGTGGAGTGCCATACTATACTTATTAATGAATTATAAAACTGAGATACTGTCTGACTCTTAAGCAGATGTAAAAGATGTCATGGTAATGTTTTTGAAGAGCAGGAAGCTATCTTTAAATCTAGCCAATATTTGTCACTCAATCAATCAGCATCACAAAAACAGACTAGCTGTTCTTTATTACATTGCTGTTAGTGAGTAAGCAGCTGTTCCCCTTTGTTGAAGAGTCAGAACAATGGGACACACTTTTTAAGTGAACAGCAGGAGGGTTAGAGGGGATTTGAAGAATTTTTTTTGTCTAGAGGTTGCTGGGTATGTGAAATGCACTGCCTGGGAAGACAGTAGATGTGCTCAAGCTCACAGCCTTTAAAAAGTACTTGGATGAAAACTTGAAGTGTCATAACATTCAAGGCTATGGACCTGATGCAGGAAAGTGGGATTAATGTAAGTGGTTTTGGCATTGACTTGATGAGCCAAAGGGCTTCTTCTGCATGTGTGATTCTAAAGGTAAAGCCACCATAGTCTGACTCTCTCATTAGAGAGATAGAACTAATGGTAGATTAACCTGAGAGTCACCACATCTCAAGCATGGAGAGGTCTTCACAGTAACCTCAGATAGTAAGGGAGTTGAACCCACCCTGTGGGTATCCCTTTGTATGTCCAGTCAATAGAGCTAACCAAGCCCCTATGTGATTCTGCAAGACCTTGCTGCACCTAAATTGGTTATTGTAGTATTCCGTTGACTGTAAAGTGCTTTCAGACGTTCTGAAAAGTGCTAAAGAAATATATGTCACTTTATTTTGTCTTCATGAATCGGAAGTAGGAATGCTATAAACTGAGCTAGATGATTACAATAGATATTATTTGCAATGTACATTGACGATATAGGCGAGCCTATTTGTAGGGGCTTCTTTCTGGTGATTGACAGGCGCAGCGGCCCCACCCTCTTCCCGGGCAGCTCCGCGCCTGCGCACTCTCTACCACGTGTGCAGGGGGTGTCAGCATGGCGGCGGTAGCTGGTGGAGCGGAGAGTTGCTGTTGCTGCGCCTTTTCCCCGGGGCCAGCCCAGTGCTTGGCGGCGGCCGCAGCGGATGGTCGGATTCGGGTGTGGAACACGCAGAGCGGCAGCCTTCGGCACGAGTACGTGCCTTCCTCGCATCTCAGCGCCACTTGCAGCTGCTTGTCGTGGGCTCCCCCGCGGCGACTCCGTCAGGTGAGTGGCAGGCTCGGGCTGAGGCCTAAGGCCTAGTCAGCAGCAGGCTCGGAGCGAGGAGGAGGAGAGGCAGCCTGGGTGGAAGTGATGGTGGTGAGGGGCACGGCGAGGGTGCCAGGCTCCGCCTGCGGCCTAGTCAGCAACAGGCGGAGTGCCAGGAGAAGAGGCCTCGGAGGGTCTTCTCTACTCCACCTTCCCTCCATGTGGTTTCCTATGGGCCGGCCCTATTTCACCCATGTGGAGGCCTCCGAATCTAGAAAAGAGACCACTACACTTTTATGTTTGCTTCCCCCTCCTGCTAGCTCGACCGCTCGAAAATAATTCGGTCCAGGTTGTAAAAGTTCTTTTCTGGAGTTAAACAGAAATTCGGCTCCTATTCTCTCTATTTTGCCTCGTATCTAAAAGTTTTCCTTTTAAGTAGACTTGTCTGCACTCTGGTGAGTATTCAGAGGAAGCGGGCAGGGTCCGATTGCCCACGGCTTTTCTGGAAATGAACCACTTGAAAGTTTCTCATGGCCGGTAGGGTGAATCCAAGGAAGGTCTTGAGATTCCGTTTAAAAAAAAAAGAGAGAACCGGGTGGGAAGTTTGACATTTGCTGTCATCTGAGCTCGTGTGCTAACGAACTAGCTTTAGATTTGAGAGATAAAGCTCGGCAAATCATCAGAATGCGAAGTAAATGCTTTAAATTTCTAACGATTCTAGTCGTATATAGGTGTGAATTCCAGCTTGCTATCCACTTAAAGGAAAAACCTGAGCTGGGTATTTTCATTGATTTCCATGAGCTGTTAATTTATGTGGTTCAATAGGTTTAAAGCTGAAACAGTATTAGTGAAAGTACAAGAACAGAAACCTGAAATAAAAGCTGAATGCTGAAAATACTGAACATGTTTGGTAACACCTGAGGATACAGCAATGGCCACTGTTCTTAATCACTTGCCTTTTCTCAGAATTAAAAATGCTGGCCCCTGAGCTCAGTTTCTGACCCCTTACAGTCATCTTCACCGTGCTGTCAAGTTGCACGTTAATAAGATTCGCATCTGCAGGACATGGAACCAGGAGTAGTCCATCCAGCTCCTTGACTGTACTCAGCCATTATAGATTATGACTGATCATCATCTTCAACACCATATTTCCAGACTATCCCCATGTATTTTGCCATTTGTATCTACAGGTATTGTGATCTGTTTTGAATATAATGCACAAGTAGCCAAGCTTCATGTGATTGAATGGAATTGAACATTGTTCCATTTGGTCTATTGGTTGCCACAAAAAAAGCTTTGGCACCATCATTTGACAAGATCCCTCATGGTAGGCTGGTCCAGAATATTGAGTCACACTGGATCCATGCTGATTTGGTAAGTTGGATACCAAATCAGCTTGGTCATAGAAGACATAGGGTATTTGTAGAGGGATATTTCTCTGACTGGAGATGTCTGACCAGTGGTGTTCTGCAAGGATCAGTGCTGGGGCTTCTGTTAGTGACTTGTACATAAATATGTATGGTGAAAATGTAGGTGGTCTGAGTGGTACATTTACAGATGACGTGAAATTTGCCAGAGTTGTGGAGAGTGAGGAAATTGTCAAAGGATCCAGCAGGATATAGATCAGTTGGAAAGTTGTGTAGAGAGGGGGAAAAGGAGTTTAATCCGGACGTGTGAAGCGATGCATTTTGGCAGGTCAGATGTAAGAGGAAAGCATTCAGTAAATGGCAGGACACATTGGAACATTGATATATAGAGGGATCTTGGTTGCAAGTCCATAGCCCCCTGAAAGTGGCACTGCAAATGGGATAAGGTGATAAAAAAGACTTGCAGCATGCTTGCCTTCATTGGTCAGGGCATTGAGTATAAATGTCATGTTGCAGCTGTATAAAACTTTAGTTCGGCCACATAATGAAGTATTGTGTCCAGTTCTGGTTGCCACTCTGTAGGACTGATATGGAGGCTTTGGAGCATCCGGAGAAAAAACACACAGACATGGCGAATGTGTGCAAACTCCACACAGACAGTTACCCAAGGCTGGAATCGAACCCAGTCCTTGATACTGTGAGGCAGTAGTGCTAACCATAGAATGACTGTGCTGCCCCCTGCATAAGGGTAGATAGTCAGTCTTTTTCGCAGTATGGAAATGTGAACTACTTGGGGAGTGGCAGAGGTTAAAGGTGAGAGAAGGAAAGTTTAAAGGAAATTTGCTAGGCAAACTTTTTACACAGAGGAGCTGTGTGCCTGAAATGCATTGCCAGGGGAGGTGGTAGAAACAGATACGAGAGCAACGCTTAAATAGGCACATGAACAGGCAGGAGATAGGGGGATGTGGGCCACCTGCAGGCAGTTTAGGTTAGTTTAGAGTGGCACCGTGGACAGTGCAGACATGCTGGGCAGAAGGGCCTGTTCCTGTGCTATACTGTTCTATGTATCATGATATTTTATCTGGAAAATTAGTTTTAGGTCACCAACAGCCAAATACACTAATCTTAGGAACAAGGATCAAGAAAGAGTTGGCCTCTTGGCCCTTCAAGCCTGCTATGCTATTCAATAAGATCATGGCTGGTCTGATTTTAACTTCAGCTCTACGCTCCTGCATATTCCCAATATTCGTTTCATTCCTTGCTACTCAATCTGTCTAGCCCTCTGTCTTAAAAATATTTAAAATTGTGCATCCATTGCCTTCTGAAGAAGGGAAATCCGAAGATGCAACCTTCAGAAAAAAAGTTTCCTAATCTCTGTTTTAAATGGACACTTGCTTATTTTTAAACTATAACGCTAGTTCTGGGTCCTCCCTCAAAGGAACTTAGATTCATAGAGTGGTACAGCATGGAAACGGACCTTTTGATCCAACTGGTCCATGCTGACCAGAATTGTTAAATTAATCTAGTCCCATTTGCCTGCATTTGGCCCTTTAAACCCTTCCTATTCATGTACCCATCCAGATGCCTTTGAAATGATGTAATTGTACCAGCTTTCACCACTTCCTCTGGTCGCTCATTCCATACATGTGCCACCCTTTGCGTGAAAAAGTTGCCCCTTAGGTCCCTTTTAAATCTTTCCCCTCTCACCTTATACTAGGCCCTCTAGTTTTGGACTCTGCTACCCTGGGGAAAAGACCTTGGCTATTCACCTTGTGCCCCTCATGATTTTACAAACCTCTATAAGGTCACTCCTCAGCCTCTGATACTCTGTTCAGCCTCTCCCTATAGTTCAAACTCTCCAACCCTGACAAAATCCTTGTAAATCTTTTCTGAACTCTTTCACATAGGGCATCACGGTGGCTCAGTGCATGGCACTGCTGCCTCACAGTACCAGGGACCCGGGTTCGACTCCAAGCCGGGCGACTGTCTGTGTGGACTTTGCACATTCTTTCCATGTTTGCATGTGTTTACTCTGGGTGATCTGGTTTTCTCCCACAGTCCAAGGATTGGCCATGCTAAATTGCCCAGAGTGTCCATGGTGGGAAATGTAGGCTTATCGGATATGGGGTGGGTCTGGGTGGGAGGCTGTTCAGAGGGTTGGTGTGGACTTGGTGGGCCAAATGGCCTGCTTCCACCCTGTAGGAATTCAATGAAAAAAATCAAAAACATCCATCCTATAGTAGGGAGACCAGAATTGAATGTAGTATTCCAACAGTGGCCTAACCAGTATCCTGTAGATCCGCAACATGACCTCCCAAATCCTTTACTCCATGCACTGACCAATAAAGGCAAACGTACCAAATGCTGCCTTCACTATTCTGTCTACCTGCAAGTCTGCTTTCAAGGAACTATGAGCCTGCACTCCAAGGTCTCTTTGTTCAGCAACACTCCCCAGGACCTTACCATTAAGTGTATAAGTCTTGCCCAGATATGCTTTCAATGTCCAGCTGATCAAGACCACTCTTGTCTGACGATGGGAAACCCAGCCATTGTAGTTGTTTCTTCCCCCGTTTCCAGTTAGAGTAAGCCAGTGACTTTCTCTCAATTCATTGAGAGTCTCTGCAAATTGATACTTTCCTCGCAACCTAATTTTCAAAGAGGCAATGCCTGCAAATTTAAGTGAGGAGTTTTATTATGCTGGAAAATAGTTTGCATTTTGCATATAATGCATTGACACGGTTGGCTCAATTAGCAATTGGACAACAAAATTGAACCAATCCAACGAAATATCAAAAGCTGCAATGTCATTATCCTGCTTTGGGGATCTTTTTAAGTAGATGCCAGTTTGAACCAAATTTGCCTGTTGACTACAAATTACAAGGTGATGTTATTGGTACAGAAGCAAAATACAGTGAGTGCTGGAAATTAGACATAACAATTAAACGTTGGGACTACTCTCCAGGTCATGCAGCACTTTGGAGGGGGAATGTTACGGTTTCAGGTCAATGACCTTTCATCAGATCTCTGAACCCTGAGTTTTGATGGAAGGTCACAACCTAGAATGTTAACTTTGTTTCTCCCTGCGCAGATGCTGCTAGATTTTTGATAGTAATAATATTGGGAGCTGTGAAGTCACATGACTAAATCTAGCAGTATCATTTGGTGAATATGCTGTCCTAATTTTATTCATTCACAGATGAGGGCGTCACTGGCTAGGCAGCATTTAAAGTTATCCACGTTGCTGTGGATTTGGAGTCACATATAGGCCAGACCAGATAAGGATGACAGTTTCCTTCCTTAAAGGGCATTAGTGAACCAAATAGGTTTTTCTGACAATTGACAATGGATTCATGGTCATCATTAGATTCTTAATTCCAAATATTCATTGACTTCAAATTCCACCATCTGCCATGGCGGGATTCGAAGCCAGGTCCCTAGAACATTAACTGGGTTTCTGGATTAACAGTCCAGCAATAATACCACTAGGGCATTACCTCCTCGATTGCACATTCCCATTATAGAAACACAGAAAATAGCAACAAGCTTAGGCCATTTGGCCCTTCAGCCTGCTCTGCCATTAAATATGATCATGGCTGATCATCCAACTCGGCACTCTGCTCCTGTTTTCTCGCCTTGTCCTTTTTTTCGTCACCTCGGTCTTAAATGGCCTGACTATATTGAAAATCTGTGACCTGTGGTTTGGGACTCTCTGGTCATTGGGAGCTTCCAACCTAAGTTAACATTCATTTGTTGGATTTTACAGCAAACAAACCTCCTTATAATGACATCCATGAAGTTTAGGCTGACCGGATCTACGTTTTGTATGAATTGTTCTAAAAACTGGGAATATAATGTTTCAGGCTCAGCAGAACTGAGGTTTTTCAAACAGTCATGTGTATCTAATGGGCTTCTTTGCCTTTCCTTTCTTGCTCTTGACTTTGCTTTGTGCGCAGCTTTGGTTGTCCTTATCTGTTGAGGGAGTGCAGCGAAGGTTTCCGATTTATTCCTGGGGTGGTAGGACTGCCGTATGAGGAGAGGTTGATTCGATTAAGATTGTATTTGACATTTAAGAGAATGAGGGGGGAATCGCAGAAACCTGTAAAATTCAAACAGGACTAGATGCAAGAAGGATGTTCCCAATGGTTCCGGGTTCCCCACCAAAGGTCATAGTTTAAGGATAAGGGGTAAACCTTAAAGGACTGAGATGAGAAATTTCTTCACCTAGAGAGGTGTGAGCCTGTGGAATTCACTACCACCAAAAGTGGTCACAGCCAAAACGTTGTGTTTTCATAAAGGAGGTAGGTGTAGCTCATGGAGTGTCACGGTGGGCCAGTGGTTAGCACTGTTGCCTCACGGTGCCAAGGACTTGGGTTCGATTCCACCCTTGGGCAACTGTCTGTGTGGAGTTTGCACGTTCTTCCTGTGTCTGTGTAGGTTGATGCCAGGTGCTCTGGTTTCTTCCCATGGTCGAAAGATGTGCAGGCTAGGTGGATTGGCCATGTTAAATTGCCCATAGCATTGAGGGATGGGTCTCAGTGGGATGCGCTGAGGGTTAGTGTGGACTTGATGGGCCAAAGGACCTGTTTCCACAATGTAGGAATTCTATGTAGCTCTTGTGGCTAATGGGATCAAGTGATATCAGGGGAGGGCAAGATTAGGGCATTGAGCTTAATGATTAGCCATGACCATATTGAATGGCAGAGCAGGCTCGTGGGGTTGAATGGCCTGCTCGTCCTTTTTTTCCTGTTTAATTCATTGGCATTATTCAAACCCTGCTGGCCACAAACCACTGCCAGCTACCTTTGTTTCATTTGATAATTTTTTATATTTTAAATTTGAATGATGCAGATGAGTAGTTTTGAAAAAGCAGCTGACAGGAAGTGTATTTCACCAGAAAGTAATGATGACTTTATTTAAAGAATAGTCGTATTCTGTTTACCACATCCTCCCCCTCTTCACGTGGTTTTTTCTATTAATTCTCTCATTTTAAAGGTAATGCACTCAGCAGGGGCGTATGTACATTCTATTAAGTGGGTTCTTTAATTCTTCAGTAACTGTATAACATACATTTAGTGTAGAATCTTAGAAATACCTTTATTTAGAAGTCTCTAAATCTTTGCGTTTAGCTTTTTGATTATTCCTAAATAGCTTTTGTTTTTAATTTATTCCAAAAGTGGCTTTTTTCCCTCTGGAAATCTATCTCTCTGGAGACACAGGAGCAATGAATACTTATAACGGTATTATTATAACGCAATGTTTGTGGTTAGTGGAACATGGGAGGATGTCCATGAAAACTTTGGGATGGTTGAGTACATTGGGAATAAGCATGGATAATTTCGGCAACAAATGACAGACTAGACATATTACATACGTGGGATTAGACAATCTTACCTCAGTCCCTGGTCCAAGTATTAGGCCATGGTTAGTAAGTGTGAGTTAATCAGAATTTGATTATTGCTGAAAAGAGGCATGTTGAAGGAGGATTGCAAATTATGAAGTAGGGTCCTAGTTGCACATTGTTTCTGACTACCCTCAGTGTTCCTGGATGTCAGAATGAAACAATCACATCTGTTCCTGCAAGTTTAGTCTGTAGTTTGACTTCAGTCCACACCTCTTTGACTTGGATGAAAGTGATGCTAGCTGTCAATAGAATGAGTATCTTCTGTATTAAAACTAACAGCTGGAAAAACCTATTGGGCTTGCTAGTTTCTAGTTATCCCAACAGGACTTGAGTATGTTTGGAAAGGATGTGAGAAAATTAATTACAATAAATGGAAATATCCAGTGTTTGTGCAGTTCACTCCAAAAATAAAATTCTCTATCTTGGTCCTTTGTGCCTCATTTCCTCTGTTCTACCTCAACAGGAAGGTGTGCATGTCTCGAAGTTACTGCAGATTCTTTCTTCGCTGTCAGTTTGTAGGTCTTCAGTCATCTTCATTTTTAATGAATGTTAGAAACTTCCAAAATGACTGTAGGGTTACAATCACTAAAGGCTTTGGGTCCTGCCTAGAATTGGGAAAACAAGGACTTTAATGTTATTGTTCAATGACTTTAATAGTACCCATTTTTTAAAAAAAAAAACACATAAAGGAGTACCAAATTTATTCTATCTTCATTTTTCCAGGAAGGTCCTCGGAAGAAAAAGAGGCGATCAGAAGATGAGAAAGGTTTGGAAGAATTAGACCTGTTGGCTATTGGTACAGCGGTTGGTAGCATCTTGTTATACAGCATAGTAAAGGGAGAACTACAGAGTAAACTGGTAAGATATTGGTTTTTCGTGTTGCATTGGGTGGAGTGATAGTAAATTCTGAATTATATAAGTATATACATCAACAAAGATGCTTTCTTTCTTTAATTGAGATTAATAGCGAGAATGGAATGTATGTTTTATCTGCGAGGGGAGAGAAAATGGGTCGAGGTAGGAAGCAATGAATTCTGAGGGGCAGGAACAGATGGAAACAATGGGTCTGCCTGATCAGCCCTGTTTGTGAATTTTGAGGAGAAAGTAGAAGTAGGATGTTTGGCGTTGGGGCACTGAGGTGGGAGCCTGTTGCAGGGAGATGCCCAAGTGAGAGGAGGTTGGTGACATCCATAGATACAAAGACCTGATGCTCGATGGTGGGATCATGGTCTGGGGAGACAGGAAGTGTCTGAGAAATGGCCCTCAGGATCCACAATACAGAGGTTAGTACGACGCACAACAGCACCATCCTTGTTGGCAGGCTTGATGACAACAATCAGGATTAGATCTGAGGGCACAGAAAGCAGTCAGTTCAGAAAGCAGTGGGTTTGGATGGGAAGGGGAGGACAGAGAAATTAGGGTGACCAGTGTCATGCCAAGAATTCTCACTGAACAGGTTGGGTGCAGGTAAAAGGCCAGAAGGAGGGTCCAGGCAGAGGGAAGAATGTTGGAGGTGAATGTAGGCATCTGTGGAATGTGGAGAGGACCTCTGCCCAAAGAAATGGGTGCAGAGGCAATGGAAGTAGGGTTTGTCATTTTATGTCCGAAATACATTGATATTGGGGGTGCAGAGGGATAAAACTAATAGTTTTACTGGGTGCGGAACCATCGGCATCAGAGAGCAGAAGGTCACGAAGTAAATACCTGACAAGTAGTGGGGTCAGGAGAAAGGATGAAGTCAGAGGGAAGGGGAGTGGAGGAGGGTTCTAGAGGAGTGTGGATACCTCTTGAGTTTTCCAGCTTGTCATTCTCCTTGATGTTCTTGAAAACTTAAGGATACCTAATGCAAGTTCTTGGAGTGGGAATTATCAATAAAAATGCTGTGTAAAGTTTATTTTCCCTGAACCAAACTAGGATTTCTGTATCGTTTTGAATTAAGCAATATTGTCAAATGAACAGAATTGAGACATCTTGGCTCTTCATGTTCAGTACTCTGAATTAAGTCTGTCCTGTGGATACTGTGTGCAGATTTTGCCTATCCATAGTGCGTTGATGTTTATTTGCAGGCTCCCTTTGCATAAGATAGTAGGACTGGTGACACATACTTTCAAACTTGAGGAAGATTATATTTTTTTGAAAGCTGGTCTTACTGTGCAAGAAACATGATGACTCTTGTTCAAAATCTTGGTTAGTTCCAAGCCATCTCAAATGTAATTCCTAATCTGAAATTTTGTTCAATTGTTTGTTTTCTTAACTTTAGTCTTTTTGTCCTTTCAGGGTGGTGGACATGACAATAAAGTAAATTGCGTGCGGTGGCATCAAGAAAATGAATGTCTCTATAGCTGTTCAGATGACAAGCACATAGTGGAATGGAGCATACCGACAGGAAAAGTAAAATGGTCAGTATGGAAGTTCATGGGCTATAAAGTTTTTGCTTCTCGTACATCTCTCTTGCCACAACCAACCACCATCCTCTTGAATTTTTCTTTTCTATTTCCATCCCAAAGGAAGATAAAATTACCTTTTGCCTTTTGACAATGAGTTGAAAAGATCTGATAGGCTGGTCAGTTGACATTCAATGGTTTCTACTCAGTTGATTCCCACAGAACTGGAATGCTCTACTGCTACAAGTGCTCGTTTTGGCATTTTAACGCCATGGATGCATTTTTTGCAATGTGCAATGGTAGAATACTCAGCAGTGAATATCCAGTTTTGAAAGCTAGTGCCATATTTTGAGTCTGCTGGCGCACTGCATGAATTTCATTGACAAATCACACTTTATACAGCAATATATATTATCCTCAGGAAACAAGTCTTAGTCTTTAGTTTTTATATTGCCGGTTATTCTGTGAAGAAAATGCATTAATAAACTGAGATTTTAATAATATAGAAATGAGTAAATGTCTGATCATTAAGTGTATATAATTTAAACTTTAATTTTCAAAACTGAATTAAGTTGAGGTACTAAGCAATCAATAAAGCTTTTCCAACATCATTGCATTAGTACTTGTATACTGATTCTGTTTGTTCCATTTTCCAGCACTCATGAAGAAAATATTGATATTTGTCTATTGCAGCAAAAATGGGTCACCTTGCACTAAACTTACACTTACACTAAACGTTATGTCACAGTTTTTCCTAATTACTTATCCCATCTGTGCTCTCATTCTTACCGTTTATAGCTATCAGCTTTATAACCTTGTGTTATCTTCTAAGTTAGGTGTTCCATTTTCTAAGTCCCTGACGTATGTGGTGAATAGCTGGGGTCCCACTATGAATGTTCAGGAATGCTGTTTTGCACTATGTGGCAGTTCGTGGTCGAGTTAGATAAGTTCACAGTCATGTTCAAAACTGAACATGGCTATGAGAAAAGGTTGAAAAGACTATGATTTTTCATTGGAAACATGGCTGAAAGGGGACCTGATAGAGGTCTACAAAATTATGAGCGACATGGATAAGGTGGATAGTCAAGCTTTTTCCCAGGGTTGAAGTTTCAGTTACAAGGGAGCACAGGTTCAAGGTGAGATGGGGAAAGTTTAAGGGAGATGTGCAAGGGAAGTTCTTCACGCACAGTGGTAGGAGCCTGGAGCACACTGCCAGAAGAGGTGGTGGAAGCAGGCACATTGGTGACATTTAAGATGCACTTGGATGGTTACATGAATAGGGAGAGAATATGGACCCAATAAGGGCAGGAGGATTTTTAGTTTAGTTAGGGCATGATGATCGCCACAGGTTGAGTGCCAAAGGGCCTGTTCCTATGTTGTACTTCTCTCTCAAAAAGCTATGTGTTGCTTGTTTCTATGAAGCTTGAGATTGATTAGTTAATATAAGCAAACTCCTGTGCGTTTTGAATGATGCACGTTTGTGTGCATCTCTAATTTTGAGATATTGAAAAGTACCTGGGAATCATTACTTATCACTTTGGTAATTTGATTTTTCATTTACTCACTCAACATTATCTGTGCCATGTGACATTTTCTTAACACATTTTACTTGGTGCCACATGGCCAAGGAGAACTTTAGAATAATTTCAGCTTCGCATAAAAGATAGATGAGCTTGTACTATGTTAGCGGGGTTACAATGCAACTGGATGCTTTTAATGTTAATATTTACTGTTGGAGGGGTTTTGTTACACAAATTTATATTTCCAAGTAGGATAGAATTGGTGACCATTGCTGGAAAGGACTTAGTTGTGAAGGGCCATTTGTTAAAGAAATGTACCATTTTACTCAGATTTTTGAGCAAGGTCCACCACTGTTGAGTTAGATTAAACTGTGCCAGTTCTTCCATTCCACCTACACAGACTTTCCAAAAGGTGTGCATGTGGTTTTTGGAAATCAATATCTGTGCTTTTTACTTGAGCACAATTAACTCATTACACCAGAGCAGGGATTCCGTAAGTCTTGCTGTGATGATTTGTTAAGGTTTCGCTATATTGCTGACAAATATGACGACACATCCTTGGCTGTCTGAGCATGCTGGCTAATCCCTAGGTTTGCTTTGGTAATGATTTGGCATTTAGGTTTAATTTAAAACTGAGATGATAACTTTATACACAGCCATCAGATTATATGTATCTTCCAAAATGTGTCTATCCTGCTGTGGCCAAAATATTAAACTGTCTTTTGCCCATCAGTGTTATACCCCTCTTCTTAATAAGCAGTAAATAAGTAATTATATTGGTATCTCAATTTTGCCTGTATTCACCCTCGGTTGTAGGGAATTCTCAATCCAAAAGGACTCTAGGCCATTTACGCATGACTATGATGGTTCTGTTTCTCAGCAAACTGAATTATGTAGGCTCTTAAGTAAAAAATGTTGCCTTACGTGAGGTGCCTAGGGTTGTTTCCATGTGTTGAACCTGATAAGTCTTAAACCTTTAGAAATGGTGGATGTGGAGGGAAAGAAATCAGCATAATTAGTGACTACATGATAGAGAAATTTGTGAAAAATTGTGATAAAATGAGGCCTTGTTTGGAATTTCTGTGCTCTGTGTGCAGATCTTGGCTCCAAGTTGGGATAAGAAAGTCGCTGGTTTCATGACATTATTTGAGACTTCTGAACTGCTTCATCCAAGGAACAGGAGAAAAATTCGAGTTAGTTTTTCTGGGCATTTCCTCTGTAAATAAGAATGCTGGAATAATTGTTCAAGTTTATTTAAAATCAACCACAATTCAGTCAATAGTGAGCAAACGTCAGAGGCTAACTGCAGTAGGTCTACCTCCTCTGTCATCTCATCTGACCCTCAGCTAAAAATTAAGTTGAAACTTTGATAAACAGCCAATGTTACGATGTTTCCAGAGCTTTACATTGGATTCAAGTTTTATGTTGTAAATCTGTCTTGCTCCCCCTGAACAGCAAATGGAAAGCCGAGAAAGGCAGCATCAGTTGTCTTTGTCTCAGCCCAGATGGAAAGATGTTGCTATCAGCGGGCCGTGGCATCAAACTGTGGGATCTGGAGACCAAAGAAGTATACAGAGTGAGTGCTTAAGTTCTGAGAGAATGTACTGTGCCATGCTGGCAGCTTTATTAGTTATAATTTGTATGTGCCATGGGTTTCTGTTTTGGAAACATTTTTTTATAGAGGTAGAATGACCTAACTTCTCCTTTTCCATGTTTTTTTAATCAAATAATCATTCAGTGATGTGTATGAGCATTTACTGTGCATTTCTAGTAGCCTTTGAGATGGTGATGGTGAGCTGCTGCCTTGAATCACTAGTGTATTTGGTGTAGTCACACTCATGGTTTTCGGGTGGGATGTGAGAGAATGAGAAATGGGAGGGGTTCCAGCTTTTGGATGTAACAACTGTGAGAGAATGGGGCAATATATTTCCAAGTCAGAATGTGGGTGGCTTGGAGTGCAACTCTAAGGTGGTGGCGTTCCCACGTAACTGCTGGCCATATCCTTCTGGATGACAGTGGTCATGGATTTGGAAGGAGCTGTCTTAAGGAACTTTGCATTTCTGTAGTTATTGTAGATAATACATTGCTGCTACAGAGTGTTGGTGGTGCTGTGAATGGATGCTTGTGGATGTGGTCCCACTCAAGTGGACTGCTTTGTCCTGGATGATGTCAAGCTTCTTCAGTGTTTGAGGCCTGATGAATCCAGGCAAGCCGGAAGTATTGCATTGTCCTGACGGTTGACTGCTTGTAGATGGTGCATGGACTTTGGCGAGTCAGGAAGTGAGTTACTCACTGCAGGATTCCCAGCCTTTGACTTGCTGTTCTAGCTGCACTTTTTATGTAGCTAGTCCACTTCAGTTTTCTGGTCAGTGGTAACACCATTGTATGCGTAGTGGGGGAACTCAGCAATAGTATTGCTGTTAAATATCAAGGAGCAATGATATTCTCCTGTTGGAGATGGTCATTGCTTAACACTTGTGTGGCAAATGGTTTTTCCCTAGGGTGGCGGAGTTCAAAACTCGTGGGCAAATTTTTAAGGTGAGAGGAGAAGGATTTAGAAAGGACATGAGGGGCAACTTTTTACAGTGATTGGTGTTTAGAATGAACTACCAGAGAAAGTGGTGGATACAGGAACAGTTACAACGTTTAAAAGACATTTGTATAAGTTCATGAATAGGAAAGGTTTGGAGGGATATGGGCCAAGCGTGGTCAGTTGGGGCTAGTTTAATTTGGGCACATGGTCAGCATGGACTGTTTGGACCGAAGAGTCTGTTTCCATGCTGTATGACAGTATAAAGAGTTTTGACAAAGTGAATTAGATAAAATTGTTTTCTGCAGTTGGAAAGGGCAGTAAGTCAGCATCGTGCAGGAAAGTGGATATGAAGAATGTCAGACCAGCCATAATCATATTGAATGATGCAGCAGACCCGAGGAGCCAAATAGCCTAGTCCGGTTTCTATTTCATATGGTCTTAAGCTTCCTCCGAGCTATAGTGTCCATCTCTTCCACCATCTTTGCACAATCTAATACTTCTGTGATTTCTATAATTTGTTCAAAATTGCAGGCATTAGTTCAACCTTGCTTCCAACATTGCTGGCTATGAAATCATTAATACTCAAAATTTCACACATAGCTAGGCTACAGTGTTAATCCTCCCAGTAGTAAATTGACATTTAAAACATATTCCTGGGGTGATTGCCTATCATGAATAGAAAACTGTATATGAAGACTGGGTGAATCTCCTAGAATTGTGGCTTAAGAATTATGGAAATAGAAATGCTTCTCGATTGGGTCTGGCATTATATGGATGAAATGACATAAATGTCCCAGAAATAGATTGACAGATATTTGCATAAGGAATGGTAAAGTTCACGATAGTAATGGCATGTGCTTGATATAGTGGCCTTGGGCCAAATGTCCTTTAGCAAGAGATTTCAATAGAATTGATTGCAACTTTAAAAGGAATGTTGCAGGACATAGTTCACTTTGTCATGAGTAACGTGTCTGTAGCTTTAAAATATGATTGTTCTTTGTCACAGGATTATCGGCCACTGGTTTGAACTGCTCAATCTTAATGTATCTTTGGGTTTGGAGGTAACGTTATGATAGCTCAGCACTGTGAAATGGCATATAACACTGTCAGACTTGGCTTGAACTCCTTGCGGTACTGCATTTCCCACCATTCAGTCGGCCATCATGTGAGTTCTGAGGAAGGGTCACTGGGCCGAAATGTTAACTCTGATTTCTCTTCACAGATGCTACCAGACCTGCTGAGCTTTTCTAGCAATTTGTTTTGTTTCCGATTTACAGCATTCATAGTTCTTTTCGGTTTTAATTTAGCCATTGAGAGTTGGGGAGGATGCAGCTTAGAAAGTAGAACCAGCAACAGGTTCCATATGGATCAAGGGCTGGCAACACAATTTGCATAACTATTTTGTGAAGTCTAATTGGTATAACTTTTAAATTCCATAAACTCTGTTAAAATCAATAAGATGCGGTCTGCCTTTAAGGCGAGTATAGTTAAACTTCTTTCAATGTTCTCTCCTCTGCAGAAATTTACTGGCCACGCAACAACAGTCTCCTCACTCGTGTTTGCCACAATACGACCACCTAGTGACAGTCAGCCATTTGATGGAATAACAGGCCTGTATTTCCTGTCTGGAGCTATGCATGACCGACTCCTTAATGTTTGGTGAGACGTGTACTTTTATATTCTTCAGCTGTTTCAATATGATTGTTACCTAATATTCTGAAAATATGTAGTACGTCATAATGAAAGCCAGAGGTATTGAACCATCTGTTTTATTGGTCATTTGTTGGCTGGAGATCTGTTAGTTTTATTGTGTTGAGAATTGCTCGACATCCTATCCAATTAATTTGTTTCCAATTTAGAGTCGAGTCTACCTTGGAGTTAAATCAAGTGATCCAGGGTTCGCAACTACTAGCAGTCACTGCTACCTCTCATTGGTAGACCAGTGAATGATATACCAGTTGGTTAAATTGGAAAACGTTTTTGTCTGGATTAGCTTACCTCCACCAGCCAAAATGCTTTAGTGTTAAGCTTTGACAAAATTCATCATGTACTGGTTCCGGATGGTATTAATTGGCCTGCAGTATTCATTAATCAACATTTGCTGGATTGGAAAAATGAGGAAGTAAAGAGCTTTGTTTGAACTGGTCCCTAATATTTGATGAGATGTGTGTATTTTGTGGTTTGATTAAATATACCATATACACTCGAGCAATGATCAGTCTTGTAAAATATGACCCCTGACTTTTGGAGCAAAGAAAATCATACTTGCCTCATGTACATCATGTGTGGGTCAATCCTGGCTTTTGGCCAAAAAATAATTAAAATTCTTTACACTTGACATCTACTTGCCCTGGAGCATGCCTACTTGATACAATCATTGAAAACATAGCTGTTCAGTTCTTTTTGCCTGTGCATGTCAACACGTGATGCTGCAGAATCGCATTAAGGCTGTCATCTCATCAATGTGCACCACCTTATCATTCAGCAACATGGTATCAAGAAAGAATGGTAGGTACATTTAAAAGGCCTAGTTCAAACTTCAAAATGTTGAGACAGCAGAGTAAACAAATAATTGTGCAGCAACTAATTCAAGGTATCTGGGAAGGGCATTAGACACTGGAGGAAACTCTACATAGCTTAAACATATGCCCAAGAATAAGTGCGCAAACCGAGAAAAGCCTATTGTGGACTCTGGAAGACACAGTTGCAAAAGTATGTAAATAGAGTAAATAGACTTGTATTTCAGCAGTTAATCAAACATCATCAAAATACTTAATACAGATTGACCTACATTAGCCAAGTGGTTGAGCTGTTATGAATTTTGACATATCTGCCAGTTAAACTGAGCAAAGTTGGAAAAACGTGTCCATAAAGGCAGGCTATGAAAAACTTGATTTGTGGTTCTGCTGTTATGTATGTTTGATCAGACCAGTCAGTGGTGACGTTGAAAAGGGAAACTCTTCCAGAACACCAAATGAAGTTGTTGTCCACTTTTATAATCAAGGATGAAGAGATTAAGATGGCTTGAAAATATAGATGCAGAAATTTAGGAGCTCCTGACCAGGACGATTACAAATCTTCTAGTTTACAGTGTGGTAAAATCTTAGTTTGTCAGTGATGTTGATGAAGTAATTTGCAAAACGGTGGTACTGAAGTGATTCCTGGTAGTGTAACCAGCTTTGTTTAACCATTGAATGTCTCTTCAAAGATGACATGAGAGGAAAAAAAAGTGTAATCGCTGGATGATTGGAGGTAAAAAGACATTTGTCAAGGCAAAATATAGGTTCTGACATTTAGCAACACTGAAAATGGGTTGTAAAGACCTGGGATGAAATCAGAATGGAGATTATTGTCAAATCATTCAAGTATCCAATGCAGCTGATGGCACAGAAAATGATTATTTGTGGAATGATATGACTGTGAATACAGATGAATATTGTTTCATATGGCATTTAAGCAGATTAGTCCATGTTATCGGCTTCTGAAGATGTCATTTTTAATATGCATTTGCTCACGTCCTGCTACTAAGTTGCAGCAGTATGTGTTCTGTGAAAAATGAGTAAAATTGTATAAATTTGTACATAAGGCTTTTGTTTTTGATGTGATTGTTTTAATGAATTTAATGTACAATTAATTCTGTCTCCATGGAGATTATTTATAAACAAAAATGTAGTAGAAATGCTTTGGCTCTGCTTGCAATTCTTATGGGAAGGGGTTCTTAAAATCTTGTATGGGAGTATTCTTTGTACTTTGAGATATTGGGTTTGCATCTATTCTGTTGGCTGCAAATACATGGTCTCTGGCTATCATCAAGTCTTGATGAGTCAAGACGTCTTGCAGTATCAGATCCATTTTCACTATCTGTTTTAGAACTGCATCTCAACTTGATATGACATTTGCTGCAATCCATGATATAGTACCAGATGTTCTGTTGGAATGTACCAGATGTTCTTTGAAGTGTGCAAAGCTTACCAGAGATGCTCATTGTTTTCCTCAAACATCCATGCTCTCATGTCTACGAAGGGACCTGAAAATTTTCAATCAGACAGACCAGGTCTGAATGTTTTAATTGCCAATTTGTACCCGTAGGATATGATTGGAGTATGTGGATTCCATTATGACAAGTTTGTCTTGTCATCCAGAAGTAGTTGTACACCTTCTAGGCCCTACATTGAAACCTCGTTGAATGGAAAGATGACAATAATTGTTCTAATCCTGTATCTTAAGTGGTATAGATGGCCCACAGGTTATGTTCTGAGATTTAATTTGGTGAATGTGGTAATGTATGGGTTAGCAGAAGAAAAAAATAATATAAAAGGAGTAGCACGGTGGCTCATTGGTTAGCATTGCTGCCTCACAGCACCATTGGGTATGTAGGTGGCATGCTCTGAGGTCACTGGACTTGATGGGCCAAATGGCCTCTTCGCTTTGTAGGAATTCTGATTCTCTGAAAAATGTCTGCCTTTTAGGGGAATCTACACTCATTCACTTATGCCCTTCAGCACGCCTGCCTGCCACTGCTAACTGGTCTGTCCTAAGCATAATTTCAGTTGCTTCTGAGAATGTCTTCTACTCAGTTGGTAATTCGCCTAGTCAATACATGTGGTCTTGCTAATATTTTTAAGCTCCTGAGAATAAATTTTTAAGAACTTCCACCTCCTGATTGTCAACAAGGGTATGTCACTAAAACTCCAGATTTTCTCATTGCCTAACTTCAAGAAAATCATGGAGAAACAGCAGGTTTGGCAGCATCTCTGGAGAGAGCAATGGCATTAACATTTCAAGTCCAAAGACAACTCTTCAGAACTGTATTTTCATTTGTGTTTTTATTTGATTTCCAGCACTACTGCATTTTGCTTTTATTGAATGTTTTTTAAAGTAATAGTTTGCAGAGCCATAATTAATTTGGTTTCAGTAAAATACTGGTGTTATATTGCAATGCTGGAAATGTCTGGCTGAATCCTGTGACCTTCCTGAAATGTTTGAGGTGGACTTTGGTAAATTACTGCTCTTCTCAATAGGCAGGTGCGATCAGATGGGAAAGATAAGAATGCCGTGCTGTCCTTCACACTGACAGAGGAGCCCATATATGTGGATCTGACCAGTTCAGGAGAAAGAGAAGATGTAAGTGGAATACCTGTTTTGTTCTGGTGTTTTTAATTTGTAATTTTGGAAGCTACAAACTATTGAATCTGCAAGGAGAAAGGAAAATAGGAAAATAGTAAAAGACCCCTTCA